TCCCTCCCTCCCTCTCTCCCTCCCTCCTCCTTTCTTTCCTTCACTTTTCCCCTTCTTTTGAGACAAGGTTTCCCTATGTGTCCCAGGCTAGCCTTAAAGCTCACTATGTAAACCAAGCTGGCTTTGAACTCCTAATCCTCTTGCCTCTAAGCCAGGCTTTCCAATGACTTCTCGTATTCTTGATTCTTTATTTTCAGGTCTTGCTTTGTCGCTCACATTGACTTTGGACTCCAGAACTCAAGCAATTCACCTGTTGCAGCCTCCTGAGGACCTAGGACTATGGCATGTGCCACCAAAGCTCAAGCTTCCCACTAGTTCTTTGAAGGAAAACTTTGTGCCTGACCATTTCTAACTTGACTTTGAGCTGCTGCAGAAGGAATTCAGTCACTTGAAAGAGCAGGATAAAATTATTCACAGTACATGGTTCTTTGAGGGCAAGAAGGAGGAGGGGGTGGAGGAAGGAGAAGAGAAAGAGGAAAAGGAGGGGTGGAAGATGAGGAAGAAGAGGAGAAAGAGGGAAAGGAACGGATTCCCCAAGGCTGAAAACTGTTCCTTGAGTTCTAGGATTTTTACCAGGTTTTATACCCTGAAGTGTAGGGTCAGACATGTCCATCTGTAAGGCAGGAGCCCACCTCAGGTCCTAAATAGCCCCTTTACAATGTCATTACCATGACTCCTCTGGGTGTCTGTAATTTATGGCATATGGATAAAAAGATTTGTTCCCATCAACACAGATCCTTCCTTCCAGGGGTGAGGCTGCCATTTCCTGCCCTCCTTACTTCACAGTGACTCAACAACTTTCAACACTCAAATTCCTGATGGCCGTGGAGAAAGTGATAATAGCACTTGGCATGTAAAACACTTAATGGCTTTAAAATCACCTGACACACGTCTCACTGCATCTTCCCAACAAACTTCACAGTGGTGGGGCAGAGGGAAAGCTGTTATTCCCTGTTCCATAGGAACAGGCTGCTCCAATGTGTGAGTCACTCAAGATTTTGTAATGAGTGCATTGCAACAGGGATTCGACTTCAGACTGGTCTCACTGGTCTCAAACTGAGTTTGTTCCTGTTGGTTGTGGGACTTGTAAGGGTTCAGGGAGCGCAGACACCTCCCCTTCTAAATCCTTATCACCTCCTGTAGTCTTTACTCCTCCAGTGCCCTGGGGTCTGGCTAGCCTCTGCTGGCTGGCCTCACCTCACCATCCCATTCACATGGCTTACATTGTGCTGCCATCTTCTCTGGGTCCCCTTATTGGCCATGCCCTTCCTCACAGAGAGCCTGATGCCATCTTGCTTCTGCTGCTAATTTAGACTTTTGTTATCATAAGGTACTGGATGATTTACTGTCTTGTACTACCTCTAAAGATTTCTGGAATTAATTTTCTTTCTTAAACAAATGAAAAAAATTAAAAACAAGCAAATTTAAAAATTGTTTTTATGTGTATTGGTCTTTTGTCTACATGTGTGTATGTGTACCACGTGCATGCCTGGAGCCTACAGAGGCCAGAAGAGGGCATCGGATACTCTGGAACTAGAGTTACAGATATTTGTGAGCCCTGGTGTAGGTTCTGGAAATCAAACCTGGGTCCTTTGGAAGAACAGCAAATGCTCTTTACCACGGAAACATCTCTCTAGTTCCTGGGAAAAAATCCTGTGGAGGGGATAACATTTTACTTTTCTGTGTGAGGAGACCTATCAGTGGTTTGGGGCACTGTAAGAATAATAATTGCCTGAGTAGACAGTTGCATGCTGGATCCAAACCACTCTGTGGTTTGGGGCACGGGGTTCTCATACCAACTTTGGGGAGCCAGTTGGTAATCTTTCAAGATTTCATGACACAGTTAACTTGACATTGGGAGTTTGAGTCCAGCCTTCTTTTTTCTTTTAAAAATTCCCCTCTTTTTCTTATTTGGAAACAATCATTTTACATATCAATCCCTCCCTTCTCTCTCTCTCCCATCCTCCCATGCCCCCTACCAACCTACTCCCAACCCAATCCCCAAGGACAGTGAGGCCTTCCATGGGGGGGGGATCATCAAAGTCTGTCACATCATTTGTGGGAGGGACTAGGCCCTCCTCGGTGTATCTGGGCTGAAATAGTACCCCTCGATAGGGAATGGGCTTCTGAGGTCCATTTGTGCACTAGGGATTTGTGCAAAATACCAATACACATAAAAACATACTGGCTCCACGGTTAGAGGTCCCATAGACTGTCCAGGCCTCCTAACTGGTACCCACATTCAGAGGGTTTGGTTCAGTCCAATGTTGGTTCCCGAGCTCTATGTCTGGGGTCCCTGTGCTCTCACTAGGTCAGGTCAGCTGGTTCTGTAGGTTTCTCCAGCATGGTCTTGACTCCTTTGCTTATCCCTCCTCCCTCTCTACAACTTGATTCCAGGAGTATGGCTCAGTGCTTAGCTGTGGGTGTCTGCTTCTGCTTCCATCAGCTACTGGATGAAGGCTCTAGGATGGCAATTGAGGTAGTTATTAATCTCATTATAGGGGAAGGGCATCAAAGGTGGTCTCTCTATTACTGCCTAGATTCTTAGTTGGTGTCATCCTTGTAGATCTCTGAACATTTCCCTAGTGCCAGATTTCTCTTGAAACCTATACTGGCTCCCTGTCTTAAGGTATCTCTTTTCTTGCTCTCCTCTATTCCTCCCCTGTCTCAGTCTTCCTGATCCCTCTTGTTCTCCTCCCCCCTCTTCTCCCCTTCTCTTTTTATTTTAAAATTTTAATTCATTTTACATACCAACCACAGTTCCCCCTCCCTCCCCTCCTTCTGCTCCCACCCCCATCCATTTCTCAGAGAGGGTAAGACCTCCCATTGGGGCATCAGCTGAGTCTGGCATATCAAGTTGAGGCAGGACAAAGTAAGCCCCTCCCCCCTGCATTGAGGTTGAGCAAAGCATCCCACCATAGGGATGGGCTTCAAAGAGTCAGTTCATGTACCAGGGATAGATCCTAGTCCCCCTGCCAGGGGTCCCACAGACAGACCAAGCCACACAACCGTCACCCACATTCAGAGGAGGCCAGACATCTTAGGAGCATCTTTATGTGGAAAGAGGAGAGTGAAAGTCTCTATTTTGATACTTTTGTGGAGAAAGGGTCGTTAAACATTTATCACCAGGCCTCAGCTCTGCACACAAATGTACATGGCCTTGATGTTCACCTCCTTCCTGACCCTGGTGCCTGGGTCTAAGATAAACTGAGGGCCAGTTCCTCAGCTCAGAGAGGGAGAGTAGACCACTGAATCAAATGTGGAGTGGCCACTGTTGTGAGGATAGGCACACCTCAGAAATCTTAAGGAAAAGGCCTGGCATGGAGATGGTCTCCTCATTGCTCCATCTCAGGGAGAGCTCTCTTCACCAAGTGCTTGCTTCTCCTCCTTTACATATATGGGTTAAGACCTGCTACATGGCTCGGTGGGTAAAAGTGCTTGCCAACTGTGAGGACCTCTTCTCTTCCTTTTCTTTTTCTTCAAAATAATTTATTTAACTTGATTTTATATGCATTGGTGTGAAGGTATCATATCAGATCCCCTAGAAATGTAGTTACAGAGAGATATGGGCAACCATGGGGTTGCTGGGACTTGAACCTGGGCCCTCTGGAAGAACAGTCAAGTGCTCTTAATCACTGAGCCATCTCTCCAGTCCCTCTCTCCCTCCCTCTCTCCCTCCCTCCCTCCCTCCCTCCCTCC